TGTGTGTGTGTGTGTGTGTGTGTGTGTGTGTGGTGCCAAAAGTTGAAAGCAAAAAAGTACAAGTGCTGATAGTGAAAAAGTGGGTGTGTGTTTGTGTGTCAGATTGATAAGTACTTTGAGAAATGGTAGATCAAAGGAGGAGGAGAAGGAGAGGGGTGCACAACGGTAAAAGTCTGCAATTGCAACAAGAGGGGGCGAGAAAGGAGGCTTAGAAAAAGAGGGAAAGGGGGTAAAAGGGCTCGAGTCGATTCACACGCAAAACAGTTTGTAAACTTTTTGTAAAATCTTTGTGTCTTGAGATGGCTAGGTGATAGGGTACGTTTTGAGAAAGGAGTACAAACGGAGAAAAGTCCTCAGAACTTGGCCCAGTCGTCGAACTTGGCGTTGGTTGCGTTGGTGGTGGTAGCTGAGGCGGTGGCAGCTGCAGCAGCACTGCCAGATGAGGCGTTCTCATTTCGAAATGACTCAAAGTCTGACCACAGATCGTCGTCCGTCTTCTTGCCGCTGCTCCCATTGGCGGAAATCACATTGGCGGCGCTGGTCGGTGGTGGTGGTGAGGAGGAGAAAGGGGAGGAGAAAAGGGCAAATTCATCACCGAGGCAAACTGAGTTGGCCGGCGTGAGCAGTGGCACACCTGAGCGCCCAACTTTGGTGGTGGTGGCGGTGCTTTTCGAATCGGTCACAGAGAGCGACTCGAGTTCATCGAGCAGCTGCTGGTGAAAGGCGCTGCCGCTATTGTTGTTGCTGGAATGTTGCTCGGTTGCAGCGGTGGTGGTGGTGGACTCCAGTGATACTGTGCTGCTGCTGCTTCCGCCAAAGCTACCGGTGGGCGAGGATGCGGAGTTTGGTAAAGCGTGGGCCTTGTTGGCGCCCGGTGGTGGAGGCAGGAGGATTCCGCCAGCGCCGAGGTTGCCCTTTGGTCGCGGCTTCGAAGCGGCGCTCTTTTTCTGCAAAGAAATAGGTTAATTTAGTGATAAAAAGCATCAGATGAAAACACTTACGCCAATGTTGAGATTAACTTTGATCGTCTGGCCTTCCTTGAAGCCAAGGTCCAGCTTAGGGGCACTGCTCTCGGCTTCCTTTCCCGACGAATCGCTTTCCATTTGCAAGATTCTGTGCAAAAAGGGTCAAAATCAAAGGTATTATTTAGAAAGCCACTTACTTGAAGTGATCCTGAAGGGCGACATTCAAGTCGAAGCTGTCACTTCGATCGACAAAGCCAATGCCCACAAAGGCCGTCCGCTTCGTCTGTTCATTAACTAGCTTGAGCACAAAGTACCGCGACGAGTCGGAGACGGACTCGATGGCCGTTCCGGGGTACTTGTCAATGGGACACTGGCCGAAGAACTGCCCGGTACTCTTTTCGTCCAGCTTGATGAAGCACTCACTGCCCTTGGCGATCAGCCGCAGTCGGCACGCCCAGTCGGGGGCATCCAGCGACCAGTCTGATGCTCTGTGAGTTGATGAAAGAAGAGACAGCAATAAGAAATGGAAGGAAGCCACTCTCTGCAAATGATCATCCCACATACCTGTAGGCGCGATTGGTCGTCCTCGGCGGAATGCGGTAGACCTGCACCTCGGGCTTGACCAGCAGGACGCGTTCGTAGTCGTCAGCCATCAGGGTGGAAGTACTGGAGCACCGAGACGGCCACTCGGTAGTAGGAGTAGAGTGCCGTGCAGAAGAACGCCAACTCGCAGAGGGTGACGGGCGCCGAGAGTCGGACGTGCAGCTGGTGGTAAACTCCCACTGGAAAGCTGCACTCCACTAGGATCTGATCGTAGTTGACGCTGATTGATGACGTAATGGTGATCGAGGTGGTGGTGGTGCTTGCCGATCTGGTACGTATCGGAGGATTCAAAGGAGAAATTGGAGAGAGGAGGCACTCTGATCCTCGGAGAGCGAAGCAGTGCAACTGTCTCTCTTTCTCTTTTCTTCAGCAGAAGCAGCAGACGATATTGCCCTCGATTCCACGTAGTGAGACAACGGCAACGGCGGCGTCGGCAGCTCGACGGTTGCAGAAGAATGAGCAGTTTTTGTATTTCTGGAAATGTCTTACTGAATCAGGTGGCCTATAGGTACAATTCGATTAGCTTTTGGAGATGACAGACTTTGTTGTTTCTTTTTTAGAACCGAGCTCCTGCAACAGCAGCAACATATGCTTGCTTGCCTGCTGTTTACAATGCTACAGTGAGCTGGTGGTTTGCTGACTGAAAGAGAACACCGGTGTTGATTGTTTGCAAACTTTTCAAATTAATGAATACTAAAAAGTAGAAATCACACTCACAAAGGCATCACTCACCTCACCTGCTTTGATAAGCAATCTTATCAGACTGATCTACCTCTGAGCTACAGTAGCAGAAGGTACACTGTACCACGCGATTTGACACAACTCTACGGTAAAAATAGCTGATGACGCAGCCTGCGCCGCTGCTGCCGCTGTGTTGTGTTTTCCAGCCGTACCAGCATCAGCCAACTCTACGTAAGCTGACTCGCCGTTCACCGGAGAACGAAGAAAAGAAAATTCGCGAGCCCGATTCCTCCGGGAATTCTTCGGTTATTTAATTAGAGAGCGAGAGCTACCCTGAGCACCTCTGAGCACCCTCTCGCTCTTCTGCACAACAACAGCAATGTCTGCAATCTTCAACTTCCAAAGCCTGCTGGTGGTCATCCTGCTGCTGATCTGCACCTGCACCTACATTCGCTCGATGACGGCGATTCTCGACCGAAGGAAGACCGGCTTTCTGGGCACCTTCTGGAAGTGTGCTCGCATCGGCGAGCGGAAGAGCCCCTGGGTGGCCGCCTGCTGCCTGGTCATGGCGGTCGTCATTCTCTTTTACTGATTTTTTACTCTTTTTATATGCGAAATGTTTATTACTTTGTACATCTCTACATTTTCTTGCAGTACATGAACTGGTTCTTCTGTTGCCGAACCAATGATCAATAATTATCAAATGGGCGAACCACTCGTGTAATCGTTGCTTCCATAACTGATAAACACACTTGTTTACCATCTCTCTTCCTAGTATGAATGTTGACTTGATGGCCGGCGATTAGGTTTCGAAAAAAACAATAATTTGAAGTGTTGAGGATGCTGAGGAGGCAATCTCTGGATTGCTGTTACACCGATTGGACGTACTTGACCTCGTCGAAGGCCTTTCGTGCCTTCTTCAGCTCCTCATTCATGTTGAGCAGGTCTCGCACTCGAGAGTATTTGCGCGGGTCACGTCGGACGAGGTACATGACGTCCTCCACTGTGACGCGACCAGACCGGCCAACTTCGAGGGCTCGCAGGGCAGTGTCGCCGATGAAGTGTATGACCAAGTCCTCCAACATGTCCACCGTTTCGGTGTAGGGATTGACATCATCACCTTGAGTACAGATATTTGTTAGATTTTCAACAAAGTAACTTTCATTACAAAAATCATACCAAATCCAAAAAGCATGCATCGAAGTTCTTTGGCAAAGAGACGCTTCTTATTCTTATCAGCTGAAGAGGACACTGTCAAAGTGGTTGGTGGTGGCGGTGGAACAGTGTGAGGCTTAGTTTCAGGGTGATGCTCCTGAACTGGGGCAGTTTCAGTTTTTATTTCAGCTGTCGAGTTTGTTGTTGATATTTGAGTTTCCTCAAAGCTCTCTTCAAGTTTGATGGATGCCATTTTGAAGATAAAATAGACTGTAGTACAAAAGACCAGTTTAGCTTTCAAACAGCAGCAGTCAAGTATTGCACACTTACCAATATAATTGCTCGTTGTAAAAGTAAATTGGTGTAAAAGGTTCAAAATAAAACCATCTTTATAAATAAAAACAACCGTGGTTCACCGTGTTTTAGTGCTGAAAAAAATTGAGCCGCTCAAGTCTTGAGGGCCTCTCACAACACTGCACAACATTGTCGGGATGATTTCCCGGGATGCAGTGCTGAAGGGAAGATTGCCAAAGTGACTTGACTGAAAGTAGAAAAGTAGAACAAGTCCAAAAGATTAGGTGCAAAAGTTCTAAAGTGCCAAAGAGGGGGCTCAATAAAAGTGGCTAGAATTGCTGGCAATGGGCAATCTAGTGACGTCGACGTTTTCTGGGTCTTCAAGCACATCTTCCTATCTTTCGAAAGGCCTCTCCGATCCAGCAACCATTGGCAACCAAACAGTGCGAGCGGTGCACGGCGTCGCCATGAGCCTCACCTGTCTGAAGGTGCAGAAGCTGGTGGACTCGCACACGGTGGTCGTCATCTCCAAAAGTTACTGCCCCTACTCGAGGATGGCCAAGGAGGCGCTCGCCAACTACAACCTACCGCCGGACGACCTGCTGGTGTGGGAGATTGACGGCGAGGAGAACACCGCGGAGATTCAGCAGTGCCTCAAGCAGATGACCGGCGGGCGGACGGTGCCCCGCGTCTTCATTTGCGGCCAGTTTGTGGGCGGCGGCGAGGACACTGTGCGGCTGCACAAGAGCGGCGAGCTAGCGAAGCTGCTCGCTGCCGCCGGTAGCAGCACTCCCTCAAAGTGATTGCACTTTGAAGGAGTTTACTTGTAGTTGCACACTCCAACCTTCTGTTTTTTACCGGTGTGGACTTTCAGTAATCTTTTGATTTCTTTCATTTCTAAATAAAATATTTTTTTGAAAATGAATTAATCAACCAGTAATTCACGCAATCGCCACCGGAGCGCTGTAGTCGTCGGCAAAGGCACGCTGGTTTGGATTTCATCATTCTGACCACTTTCAGTTTCAAGCTCGTTTTCGTTTCGGAATCTTTTCAGTCAAGAAATACAGAATCACAGATCAAAATGGAGAGCAACAAGAACGGCGACAACAAGCGACAACAGGAGGATCAAGAACCTGAAGCGAGCTTTTCAAAAAGAGTTAAAGTCGAAATGGCGCCTTCCGCGTTTAACGCCCAGTCAGGCAGAACTATCACCAGCGTCTACAACTGGGAGAAAACTATTGAAAATTTAGAAGACGAGTACCGTTTTGATAGCGATGTTTTTGGCACTAAAAAGCATTCTTTTTACCTCAGGTTTAAAGAACATTCATCTAGTTACGGTGACGGATATAGTGACGACCAATATAGTGATGATGATGATGACTATGACCTTTTGGTAAATGAGTTCTACTATGAAGAATTTCCAAGTCGTATCTCATCAAGAAATTTTAATATTTATCTTTGTCTCGATCACGAATCTCTTGAAAATGAGGTTTTCATTGAAAAACTTTTTGTCGAAGTTTTAAATGGGCCTACAACATTATATAATCAAGGTTTGTTTTTGTTTACTTGGCTAAGTTATAACATTTTTTTTCTAGTTCTCACCAAAGATTCACCCTTGGAAATTGATACTGTAAAAATACACCGAGGAAAATATATCGATCTCGAAACTAGTTTGGAAATTACTTTTAAAGAATCGTACGATGATTGGAATTCCTATTGCTCAAGAGCGCCTGTTAATCATGCCGAAATGCTTTGTCAGCAGTTGGCCAACATAACAAGTTTATCTCCACCTGATGTGACACTGAAGACAATGTCTGATGGCCAACTGTTTCCAGCACACAAGCTCATCCTTAAGATGCGGTCGCCAGTTTTTGCCGCCATGTTTTCCGGCGACTTTGTAGAAAATCAAAAAGAAAACCCGATTGAGATTTTTGAAGTTTCCGGACCAGTGATGAAAGCCATGCTCGCTTATGTGTACTGCAAGCCGTTTTATAATTGGGAAATGATAGCCGGTGAATTGGCAGTGGCTGCAGACGTGGTATGAATGTTTTGTAAAAGGATTTTTAATTTTAAATAATTTTAAACCTCTAATTTATTTTCAGTATAACATTACATCGCTGTTTGATGCCTGCATTGCCAGTCTGCTGGATGACATTACTGTGGAAAATGCAGCCAAGAACTTTTACTATGCTCAACTTTTCAACTCTACCAATGTTAAGGGGATTGCTAAGTACATAGACTTTCGCAAGGATGAAGTTAAACTCACGGACGGATGGAAAGAGCTAAACGAGGAACGAGGTGATTGGCTGGAAAAGCAGTTGTCGAAGGTGTTAAATGTGAAAAAACGTCAAATCAGAAAGCGCAAGTGATCAAGTTATATTGGAGATGATTTCGATAAATAATGTTGAAAATATTGTTGTCTTTTTGAAAGAAGGAAGTCAGACATTTATTAAAACACTTTAATCTGTTTTACCGGTGCGGACTTCTAACAATCTTTTGGTTTTTCTCATTTCTAAAAAATTTTGAATCAACCAGTAGTTCTCGCAGTCGCCACATGAGCGCTGTAGTTGTTGGCAAAGCAACTGTGCTTGTTTGTGTTTCATCATTCTGATCACTTTCATTGTTTCAGCTCATTTTTGCGCCAGAATCTTTTCAGTCAAAAAATACAGTTCCAAATGGAGAGTAGCAAAGAAGACGGCAAGCGACCACGGGAAGATCAAGAAGCTGAAGCAAACTCTTCTAAAAATGCCAAAGTCAAAATGGCGCCTTCAGCATTTAGAGCTCAATCCGGCAAAACTATCACCAACGTCTACAGTTGGGAGAAAAACTTCAAAGATTTAAACAAAATGGACGGCGAGATTAGCGATATTTTTGGCACTAAAAAGCATTCTTTTTACCTCAGTTTAGTAGAAACACAGCTCTTTAAGGAAGATAGTGACGAAGAAAGTGACCAAGATAGTGACGATGACCGTGGGGAATATGAAAAGAAACGGAATCGAAACGATCCTTACGAATGTTCAAACGATTTTCATGTCTATCTTAATCTCGATAAAAAAGCTCTAGAAAATGAAGTTTTCATTAAGAAGCTATTTGTCAAATCTCCCAATACTTTTGAAGGGCCTAAAACGTTTCATAATGAAGGTTTGTTTTTGTTTACCAGCATTTCGGTTTTTAACTTCTGACCTTTCTTTTTCTAGTTCTCACTAAGGATTCTCCATTGGAAATTGATACTGTAGAAGTATACGGAAAAGACGACAACTATTTTGAAACTAATTTAGAAATAACTTTCAAAGAGCTGGGCGATGATTGGAATTCCTATTACTCAACAGCGCCAGTTAATCATGCCGAAATGCTTTGTCAGCAGTTGGCCAACGTAACAAATTCATCTCCAGCCGATGTGACACTGAAGACAATGTCTGATGGCCAACTGTTTCCAGCACACAAGCTCATCCTCAAGATGCGGTCGCCAGTTTTTGCCGCCATGTTTTCCAACGACTTTGTAGAAAATCAAAAAGAAAACCCGATTGAGATTTTTGAAGTTTCCGGACCAGTGATGAAAGCCATGCTCGCTTATGTGTACTGTAAGCCATTTAATAACTGGGAAACGATGGCTGGCGAGCTGGCTGTGGCTGCAGACATGGTATGAATGTTTGAGAAGTGATTTTTCAAAATAACCTTAAATCTTTTTACAGTACAACATTCAATCTCTGTTTGATGCCTGCATTGCCAGTCTGCTGGCTAACCTAACTGTAAAAAATGCGGCCAAAAACTTTTACTATGCCCAACTTTTTAACTCGACCAACGTAAAGAGGATTGCCGAGTTTATAAACATTTATAAGAGCAAAATTAAGCTCACGGATGGATGGAAAGAGCTAACCGAGGAACGAGGTGATTGGCTGGAGAAGCAACTGGCTGAAGCGTTGGGGTGGTAGAAGGTCAAAGAAGAAAGCGCAAGTGATCAAGATGATACCAGAGATGACTCCGAGGACTATTGTCAAAAATGTTGGCTTTTTGAAAGAATTGTAATCCAAAACCTTATTCGCATTAAAACATTTGCTAAAACATTTCCATCTGTTTTTTTCCGGTGTAAACTTTCAGTATTTTTTTGTTTCTTTCATTTTTGAAAAAAATTTAAACTCATTATCAAAATGAATCAATCAATCAACCAGTAGTTGCAATGGCCACATGAGCGCTGTAATCGTCACAAAACAACTGAGCTCGTTTGTGTTTCATCATCCTCATCACTCATCCTGTTTTTATTGTTTCAACTCATTTTTCCGCCGGAGTCTTTTCAGTCAAGAGTTACAAATCATTATGAAGAGTAGCAACGAGGACCCCAAGCGACAACGGGAGGATCAAGAACCGGAAGAGGGCTCTTCTAAAAAGGCCAAAGTCAAAATGGCTCCTTCCGCATTTAAGGCCCAGCCAGGAAAAACTATCACCAGCGTCTACATCTGGGAGAAAACTATTGAAGATTTAGAAGAGGAAGACCGTTTTGATAGCGATGTATTTGGCTCTAAAAAGCATTCTTTTTACCTCAGGTTTAAAGAACATATATCGAATTACGGTTACCGTTGGAATGATTACTACAATGAAGGGTATCAAGGTGATCTCGAATCGAGAGATTTTAATATGTATCTTTGTCTCAATGATGAATCTCTCGAAAATGAGGTTTTCATTAAGAAACTTGCTGTCAACGCTCACAATTATTATAATGGGCATTCAACTTTGCATAATGATGGTTGGTTTTTGTTTACTAATACTTGATTGTCTAATTTCAAACGTTTTTTTCTAGTTCTCACCAAAGATTCACCCTTGAAACTTGGTACTGTCAAAGTACGCCAAAACGAAAATAACTATCTCAAAGTTAGTTTGAAAATTACTTTTAAAGAATCGTGCGATGATTGGAATTCTTATTACTCAAAAGCGCCAGTTAATCATGCCGAAGTTCTTTGTCAGCAGTTGGCCAACGTAACAAGTTCGCTTCCCTCGGATGTGACACTGAAGACAATGTCTGATGGTCAACTGTTTCCAGCACACAAATTTATCCTCAAGATGCGGTCGCCAGTTTTTGCCGCCATGTTTTCCGGCGACTTTGTTGAGAATAAAGTAGAGAAGCCGGTTGAAATCTGTGAAATTACCGGACCAGTGATGAAATCCATGCTCGCGTATGTGTACTGCAAGCCATTTGAAAACTGGAAAATGATGGCCGGCGAATTGGCTGTGGCTGCAGACATGGTATGAATGTTTTGTAAAAGCATTTCCTAAAATAACCTTTAATCTTTTTACAGTACAACATTCAATCGCTGTTTGATTCTTGCATTGCCAGTCTGCTGGATGACATAACTGTGGAAAATGCAGCCAAAAACTTTTACTATGCTCGACTTTTCAACTCGACCAACTTAAAGGATATTGCTAAGTACATAGACTTTCGTAAGGATGAAGTTAAACTAACCGATGGATGGAAAGAGCTAACCGAAGAACGAGATGGTTGGCTGGAGAAGCAATTGGCTGAAGTATTAGAGTAGTAGAAGGTCAAATAAGAAATCGCAAGTGATCAAGATGATACCAGAGGTCATTACGAGGATTAATGTTGAAAATGTTGGCTTGAAAGGATTTTAAGGGATTTTAACTCAAACATTGATTTTTATTAAAACATTTGCTAAAACACTTCTATCTGTTTTACCGGTGCGGAATCTCAGCAACCTTTTTATTTCTTTCATTTCTAAAAAACCTTTTTTTCAAACCCATTTTCAAAACTGAATCAACCAGTTGTAGTTCTCAAAGCAGCCACTGGAGTAGT